ACTCATACTTTTATTGTAAATCTAGTGTTGTAATAATCAGCAGTCGTACTTAATTTAATTGAAAATGCCAATATATATATTATCTATGATGGAAATAAAAACTATGGATATAATATTTAAAATATATTAGTATACAATTGGAACGCAAATATACACATAGCACTCAAAATATAATGAAACATAATTTTACATATTATACTGTAGAAGTAAAAAATAACAGATAGAATGTATTGATTTCTTTCCGAGCTTTTATGCTATTATCACATTATATAATGAYTTGAAACCTAAATTATATTACTATAGATAAAATATGCTATAATAATCATAATATCTAGCGTACATCAAAGTATAATAATATGCATACATTTTGTACCTTTTTATAATACTTAGTATCGTATGCAATATGTTTAATGGTTTTATATTTCGTCTAAAGGAACGACTGCTGCAGTGTGATCGCGATGCACCGGAAACACAAGATTTGTATAATAATATAATTTGTTATCAGACTAAGTCGGCAGTGGCGGCTGCACAGGAACTTCGCGGTGTGAACACATTGTCCATCATCGTCACCATCACCGTTATCATCATTATTATCATCGTCATAGACGTATACGACGTAGTTCAATTGGCGTTTCGGCTCGTGCTTAAACTGGTTTTCAGAGCTTGACCAGATACGGTCGTTCACTGGTATATAAAATATAAGCTTATGTATAAAATTGTGGAGGTATGTATATTATTTGCAGCGTCTGTACGTATTGCATGTGCATTATTTATAAGTGTATATAGATACCGTTAGAGTGATATTTATAATTATTATTCGTATGCGTATTTGTTTTTATCGGAATTGATATTATGATGACGTTTGTGATTATATATAAATTAATTTGTCATCGTCGTCTCCATCAGTGTATTGACAATATGATTACTAACGCCTCAGAAGACATAATAAAAGATCGAGTTCGTCAGAAAAGTGTCTGCGACAGCAGTGGCATTGGCGGTGGCGTCGTCGTTGACTACAACTATCCCTCCGGACGGAAACGGCATACGGCGAACGCTAGCACACGAACCCCGCTTGCCATATGCTCGCAGCCACTTCCGAGAGATTTACGAGTATTACAACTGCACGCGTGAGTTACGCGTGCATAAAAGAGTTTACGAGTTTTGCGGAGACGAACATTTTATTCGGTAGAATTGAATAAAATTTCGGAAAACGTAAATTTTGTTGATATAAAATCACGTACAACATACGTCCGTGACAGAGTGTTGTTATTGCGTTATGGTCTGTATATTTCTGTGTAAATATCACGTACCCGGTGGCTGACAGTCACCCGGCGTAATTAGCGCCGCTATCGAGTTCGAAGCGCAAGAGATGAATAAGGGGACATTTTTTCGTTTCTTGATACTTTCGTACAAGTCTKATGTTGTAAGCGACTACAGGAGGGTTAGGTTGTCGGTGTTGTGATGAAAACCGTGTGTACTCTTGGCCATAATGTAGGGCGAGACCCGGTTGTGTGCGTGTGGGTATAGACGTCGTCTCGAGTGGCTTGAGAGCGTCGGAGCTGCTCGTTGAGAGAACGTTGAGTTATGCGCCGACTGGCGCCCGCCGACGAAGTTAAAGTTTTTATATCATAATCTTCTAACATACATTATAATATATTGCATATATATATATATRTGTGTGTGTGTGTGTGTATTTGTGAGACGCGACACAATATAAAATATTCTGACAAAATACACAAATACCTAATATATGTGATAAAACACTATATTATCACACAGTACACATCACTATCATGTCGTTGTAATGCCGTTATAAACGTGTGGTTTTATCATCAGATTGTTGTAGTGGTTTCAAAGACGATCATCTCTACACACAACGCAAATACAATATGATTTGATATGCAAACGATGTTTTCATCACCCAGCCATGCCAAAATCTCTCAAATATAAAACAAAATAATAATAAAAAGATTCCATTTCAWAACCAGATCACCCTAAGTAGAAATTATACGCGGGTCGACGGCGTATACTATAATATACACTATACAGGATGGTGCATAAACTTATGTATACAGAGTGCGTCACACAAAACGACCAAACCGCACCTACCTATATGTATATAAAATTCTGTCTCGCGAGTAACAACAGCAGCAGCTGCAGCTCACTGCCGACTATGATTGTATAGAAATATATATATTATGATTATACTTATATAGTTATATATAATAAAACGCGTAGTCTCCGCATGCCGACGCGTTTAATATTTTTTTCCTCTGTGAAATATTTTATGGAAGACTCTGATTTCTTATATAGTCGCTCACGTTTGAGGGTGCGCATTAATATAATGTATACGTGTATTATATAATAACGACGACGGCTGTGGCGGCGAGAGGTCTCCGCGGTAGTCACATGCAATATTGTAATGAAGATGGGATATTATTGCGGGACCTCTGCCGGTATTTCAGAATATTCTAGTCGAAAGGGTTACCGTGGAAACCAGTTTTGCAGTGTACGATGACCGTGTCTTCCCCCTAGCCACTACCATGTCGAAGTGATTTTTGGCCGAGTGTAATATTTCGACTTTACTCATGTAACGATACCGTCGCGATTTGGTGAAATATTCGTAATAGTGCAATATCACCAGTATTGTGCATAAAATTACATAATATTATACATTATACCATATAATTTTATAGTATTCACTGCGACAGAAGCACCCGAATATAATATCTGATAATGATAATCCTGATGCAGGGTTTCCTGGGGAAGATTTTATTTGGTTTCCGTAGCTGTCGATTGCTTTGAGATCGCGTCGTCACCGGAAACGTGATATTTTTGACAGGACGCATTTATTTTGTTGTTTTGGAGGGAGTCTTGTTAGCGCGAGCACACACGCACGCACGCACTCGCGCGTCGAATCCCGTCACAGACGATACGCGCATACCCGCCACCGTCGTCGTCGGCAACCACCCCGACGGCGATCAGCTGTTCTAGCGGGGAGCAGCAGCTGCCCCTCAGGTGAACACATGTTGCCGCGCTCCCCGTGTGTGCGTCTTACGAAACTTCGGTTGTACACACTATTATAATATAGGTACCTACCTACCGATAATAACAATAATAATATTATAAAACGTCATTTTACGACCGTTTTTCTGCAGCAGAGTATAATATTTTACGTTCTTTACGCGTTATTACCGTTATCGTCATAAACTTTATCATGCGCTCGGTCTTTTCGTTTTGGCAACCACTGGGCGTGTGTATATTTGAACAGCGTATCTGGCGGACCGTGAACGACTGGTAATTAGCGCCGAGGTGGGATCGCGCGCGTGTTGGCTGCAGCCTGCAAGTATTGTTATTTTGTGTACACGGTAGTGCCGCCGCTGACGACGACTACAAAACGATGAACGACGATGACGTTATGTGCGCGACACCCACACCTGAAATCTATATAACCTAAAAAAAACATAGGCTCGACCGATAGCACTATTTGCATATGGAATCGTTTTCACCCGAAACTTAGGAGAAACGAGTGGCACACCTGCGCGAAAAACTCTCGCAATACAACCGTCATCCGCCAAATGTAATCAATGAAATGATCAAGTGCGCGTGCCCTACGCGTACTGTGAATTATTTAACGGGTTTTGAAAATAATTTATATACATTATTATTTTCTTTGAAAAAAAATAAATTTATTCACAATCGGCGTGATTATACTTTGTCAACAAGATGACGATAAGAACTTGATCATTTGAGGCATTAGGTGTGTTCAATCGCTAAATCAGAGCGTATTAAAACTAGTACCTATACCTAGAAATGCAGTTCGTTGGAGATATTTCCATGTTTCGCTGTGGTTATAGTAAAGACAAAGCCAAAGAATGAGTCACGTGACGTTAAAAAAAACTTTAAACATCGCAAGGGTCTCGTTACAGACTATAGCATTTTTCGTCTCTGGCAGTTAGCAATTATCGTATCATTATTATACATAATTAATATATAACTAAACTAAACTAATTTCTGCGATGAATAAAACCAAAAACCATTGTAAGTCAAGTTAAATCTGAATAATATACGTAAGCAAAAATCTTCAATATTTGTGATTCTAAATCATATTGAGCGTTGTCACTGATCTTCGGGAAAATGATGATATTTCGACGGGAGTGCTGATAAGAACTGGTAACTATATCGATACTGGGTTAGAGGTAACGTTGACACTGGTGGAGGAGAGGAGGGTGCAGTGCACTTGGCATACATATTAAAGATATAATATGTACCTATATAATATAACACGTGACTTATACAAACCACGCTGCTGCTGCAATCGTTATAGTGTCCTCGTTCAGAGCAATTATCACATTCAACGACGACGACGTCTACGACAACGACGAGCCAAGCCCTAACAAACATATTGTTTTTTTTTTATGCGCTAGTGTATATTTTATGAAACGTACGCATACAGTGTCGTGTGTGTGCAAGTTTTACACACAAATAACGAGCGTGTTGCGGCGTATATACATAGTGCACCTATATATTATAATAAAATGTTAGGCTTGCGGGTGGACGGGCGGTGGGGGATACATGACGGGACGGACGAGTAAAGGATTATACGACATACATCCGCCGAAAAATACAATATTATTATTATTATTATTATTAGAAAATGTTCTCACGGTGGACACGGGGAGACGCCCTCGGCCCGTACGTCCACCGAATCGTATAGTTACGATAATAATACTATTAAGTAGCCATACACCTAAATCGAATAGATAAGTACCCATATCGTACCTACAACTAAATATGACTCGCTTTGATTATTTGCCTAAATATACCTCACCGACCTAGTATTCATAGTATAACAGCGATTCATAAATGCAAATATTAAATATATATATAATCATTTGATATATACAAATATGTCTACGCATTCGATCGGAATAGATGATTATTAATATTATGAATCGGATTATTTTAGATGATAATTGATAAATTATTATTATGTTTACCTCTTCCTCGCCGGGCCCGACGGAATCGATGCTGTTGCACATGCCAGTAACGACAGACTGCTGGCCATCAACCGATACACTGCCTGGTCCCTGCTGTTGTTGGACTTGCAGTGGTGGCGTGTGACCTGTTGGCGACATGTTCATTGCTGCGGCTGCGGCTGCGGCTGCGGCGGCTGTGGCGGCGTCCAGTCTGAGCTTCTTGAGGGTGGCGGCGGCGGCCTCCGGTCCGTTGTACGCACCACCTCGGGCCCTCTTCAACCCTCCAACGGCGACGGCCTCCACGATTCAACCGGGTGGGTGTAATGCTGCGTGACGACCACTACCAGCGCCAACATGTGGTCACTACCGTGGACCGGCACGGTTTCCTGAAGCGACTGATCGGTAGTATCGTGTTTTTTGTTCCAGACGATGGTGAAGAAGACGACGGCCGTTGGTTGACTCAGTTATGACGGCAAGTCACTACTGCAGGGTTGGTGGAGACGGTCGACCGTGCACAGTCGTTTTAACAGTATTCCGATTTGTGTTAAATTATATTCTTTGTGGGGTGGGTGTACACACACGCGACGGCAAAAATAAAAATTAAGTTTCAGTTTTACAATCGATCGATGTTTAAATTATTTTTTGTATTAATCGGTGTAAAATACGCGAAAATGATAAAAAAAACGTAAAAAAAACAACAAAAAGGGACTTTGAACGATGTGTGTGGTGTGTCTGTTATGATTTTGGAACGTGAAGTGACTGAGGTGGTGGAGTAGGTAGTGATGGTGGTGGTTGATTAAGGTGGTGTGTTCAGTGTGTAAAAGGTAAAAATGTCGCGGTGTGTGCGTGTGATCGCGGAACGTACGACTGCCGCCGTGTCGGAATTGCGTCTGATGAGAACGCCGAGGGCCGAGCTGTGGTAGCGACGGCGGCAGCAGCGGCGGCGGTGGCGGCGGCGGCGGCGACTACGACGGCGACCGAACACGACCGGCGCCGAACCGACCGGAACAGGAAGCTTGGCGGGCGGTGGCGGTGGCGGCGGCCGTATAACCCCTTCCTCCTCCATCTCCACCACTGCCACCGACGACGACGATTGCATTGTTTTCCATATGGCGTGTGCGAGTAGAACAATTTAAAAAAAAAATCGCGTTCTCCGATGGTCTCTCTGACAATTACGGTGATGCTGTACCGATGGCAGTGTTGCACACAGCTGATGGACCGTTAAAATAATAATAATAATAACCCATTCGTGTGTGATCAACAACGGATACCTACTCCCCCGCTCATGGTCTATACCATACCCATACGACTATTATAGTATTATTATATATACGAGACAATCGTCCTTGCCCCGATCCACCACTGCGTGTTTGACCGCATATACATAATTTTATTTTTTATTATTATAAATATTGTTTGTAGGGCGTGTGTACCGACGTTTTTTTTTTTTTTTTCAGAATAACGATTATAATATTAGACCGTTTATGTTCGACTACCGACTTACGCAGGTTTTTTGTTAATCGGTATATGTCGAAGGTCGCGTACTAACAATACTCGGATATTAATGACAATATTATATAATTACTACACCTACCAGCTACCTATAATATGTTGAACGGATTTCAGGATATTTGGGCTTGAAATACTATTATACTCGTACATACCTATATTGGAACCTGTTTCAGCGATGCCGACACACTGACAGATGATGGATAAAAATATATCGTGTTATATGAACTCGGCACGTTAGAAATCGAAACAAAAATGATAGGTCACACATAAATGTGTGTGGTGTCCATATTAATAGCACGAATATTGCCACCAATCAAGAAGTTATTCGCAATAATAATGCCAAGTTTTTTTTTTTTATGAATGAATTATCTATATATAGTTCAACTTCGTTCGAGAAAAAAAGGAACAAACATACAATACAGTGCCATATATATAGATGTATGTCGTTATTAGTGTAAATCGTTTCATGGGCAAATTGGCCTCAGTGTACTTAGTTTTATGATCAAATTTGATCGAAATAAGGAATACATGTATAATGAATTGGATATTTTAGTATAGCACTCGATTTTTCGAAAGTGATTCAAACTAGTACTACACTCTACACGCTGCTAATAAATTTAAGAAGTAAGAACAATACGTCATTTTCATCAAAATTAGTCGAGTGGCTTTTGATTATATAAATAAGAAACAAATTTTAATTTATATAATTTATATATAATATATAATCATATGTTTAGGTTTGAAGATTAAAGGTTTTCAAGTTTTATAAGGCCTGTGCAAACGCTCATTAGTATAATACATATATGATTATTTTCTATATGATTCAGTTGATAACTTAATTTTTTAATAAACCTGCTGTGAGTATAAAATATTCTTGAATATAACGGGAAAACAATTATTTTCTTAGGATATTATTTGTGTTGGGCAAAATATAAATGGTYACATTTTTTATGCATGAAATAAAACCACATATTATCAGATGAAAATACACGTTGCTTGGCAACCTAAACAGTAAACACTTATACAATAATAATAGTCATGACTTAGACCAATATACACCTTTAGAATGTCGTTTATTATTTTGGTCATTTCTTAAATAATTTTACATGGAATATATTATATTATTATGATTATCCAAGTATAATATTTCTATATATTATGTAATTCAACCATGAAGTCATCATTCATTATATTTATACTTAAAACCTAACTGCGTAATAAAATGTAAAGTTTAGTACACGAACACAACATTATTTCACATAAATAATAACGGCATTTTTAATCGGGAAAATAATAAATACCTATATAAAAACATAATATAAATCTCAAATAGTAAAAATATATTGTTGTTTTATATTTTTTACACTCTTCAACAATGAATTTATTGTATATAACATAATTTAAATTATATTTAATGTGATCACTGACTTATAGAATCAATTTTTTATTGGAATTTTGTATTGTTGTATTGATCTTAACTTAAAATCACTGTTAGCTTTGTAATTTAATCACTTTTATGACCTTTAATTATTATATTATATGGATTTAAATAGTCTAAATTAGAACTGATTATTATCATAACATAGTCATAATCATGTCATTTTAGTTAAAAAATAACCTGCGTGACGCTTAAAGGAAATCTAATATATTGATTATGCAGTTTCATTGATTTATTATTTTTATTTTCAATAATTTGTTTTGTTTATTTTTATTTTTATTAAATTTTAATGTAAAATAATAAATGATTATTAAAAATAAACAAAACATATTTCGTAGAATCAACTGGCTATAAGAATGGAAATTATGGTTGGTTAATATTTCTTCGATTCTATCTCTGAAGTGAGCGATTTTGACTAAGTAAACGAAAAACATACTTAAAATTTAAATACAATATTATTGTACTAATACAAGTACTTTTTTATTAAAACAATAGGGTACCTATAGAAAACGCTTAAATAAAAACCACGCAAAAATAATAAGAATATGTATGCATAAAAAACCGAAAAGGCTGAAACCCGAACACCTGAGAATATATTATTATAATAGTATGCACTTACGCAATATGATATGTATTTTGATGTAGTTATTTTTAAATGGTTATAAAACAAATGCCGTTTGAATTTCTAYGTAGAGAACATTTTATTAATTCACGACCACTATACTACCTATGTATAAAGTGGTATATTTTTCATAATTTTACTCAGCAAGTCTTTTTATATAATTTATTTCCATAAAATATTTTGGCTTCCTACGAATGGAACAGATATTATATATCTGATCACACATTTAAAAAATAAAATAAAACGAACTTTCTTATGTGTAAAATCCACCAAAGCTTTGAAATGCGGTGTTAAAACAGGGTTATAAATACAGTGATGAAAAATAAAAATGTGGTAGGAAAAATAAACATATATGTCTATGAATAAAATATTACATTTTCCAACTTGTAGATAGATGGGAAAGTATCTTTATTACATACGGCTGGCTATACCTATATATGTATACAATTCCATAACAATCAACGTACAAAGGACGTATCGTGCCTGGGGTCAAACAATTGCCAAAGTCAGGTCAACTTTTTTGTTTTAGTGTAGTAAATTTTTAAAAAGAAATATGCAGTTGGAGGACTTTCTTTATGAGTACAAATTTAAAACAAAAAAGCCCTTCTAACCCTTTAGCTAAGCCCTCTGACGTTCTTTGAAAACATGGGTATTATCTAAAATATACAGTACTACGTTGTATACAAACAATTTTTTCCTTATATATGCTGGTACCTACTAACTACAACGAGTGAGAGAATAAATAATAATAATGATATTAATAAATTGAATGAATGAATTAATATCAGATTTTGTTTTTCTTTGAATTAGTTTATAATATAATATACAATACGGAAACCTTATCATATTTTACTTACGTATATTATATATTTAGTATCATATACAATATTTTAGGTATTATATGGATAAGCCATAACTGAATAAAATACTATCTTCTACTCATATATTTTAGTATTATAAGTTTTGTATTTTTATATGATTTTAGTTTTTAAAATGGAACACAACCTTTTACGATATTAAACACAGATTATGTATATACTTACTGCATGTCTGTATAGATACCATTTTTATTAGTTTTTGACAATTTGATCTAGCTATTTCGATTTTGTAAGTAGTTTTCCAAAAATTATACCATTCAGAGATCTATAAGTATACGCAAATAGAATACACAGAGTGTTATAGATCGAGTGTCTAAATACTGTCTAAATAATGTAAACAATATTTTTTTCTACACAAATGCAATAAATCGTTAATATAAAAAATTAATTGTGTTTAACTTTTTTAAATCAAGATTGTTGCAAGTTTAAAATTAAAAACACTTCAATAAAGTAATTGTTAATATCAGAGTCGAATATTCCTTTAAATAAAAAAATAAACTGCTTCTTTTGGTAACAAGTTTTGTCCATAGAACAAAAACTATTTATGCGAATCAAACTGAAAATAGTTATCTAAATATTGATATACAGTGTATTATATTTAGTATTTACAAATGAATAACGTTTGTCTTATATTATACGAGGTTAAAAAAAAATTAAGCTCAAGTGAATGATTTTCAAAATAAATGCGTATAAACTATAAACTCTTTTTACTGAAATATGAATTAATTTAGACTTATTTCGATTAAGATAAAAGATTATTTTTATATATTTCACACTGCATCGAAGTATTCAGTATCAATTTGCATAATATTCAAAACAAAATACCAATATTTCTTCGAATCATCTCACGTTAGATTGTGTAATAAAATAAGTGACTTTATAAAAAATGTTACTGGACAGTCGTTTGATCTAATGGTAAATACAACTTTATTACAAGCGAGCGACATTTACCTTATTTAAGTCTCTGAACTAGCGGATATTCACGTGGAAAAAAATAGAGCATAAAATGTTATCGGCAAACAAAAAATGTTGATCGCTTTCTCCTAAAAAAATACACATAGTCATATTAATAATCCTGTCTCAAAATAAGCCAGGGATTTTGCACATGGTGCTTGTTAAGAAAAATTACAATAATATATTATAATATATATTAATTACAAAACCAAAGTACTTCTGTTTAATTAATCATATTTACAATAATATGATAAATATTTATATCGTACTGAAAYTAGTCATTAAGGCGATTGCATTATTTTCCCCTCGACACAACGTCAATTTATGCCAATATACAATTTAACCGATTCACCCCTATATGTATGACGTAACGATCAAACACCGAACAACAATGTAACCAGAGGCAACAGAMTATATTATGGTATTATATTTTATATTTTATACTTATACTATCGAAATAAATTTGTTATTTTTTCATCTGTTTGTGTGTAA